CAGGAGGGCCCTGGCGCAAGACAGCACTGGGGCACTCGGCGCATGCAGCAACTTCATCAGCGAGTTATTTCAATAACTACATGTATCTAAACGGACAGGTAGGAGGTAAGCAAACAAGTCCCTCAGATGGAGGTGCCTGCATCCTTTTGCTGTACCCAGTCGAGCTCTCTGCCACACCTCCCAAATTGCAGCCACAAAGCTTAAAAACGCAGCTTTGCATCTCACCCACAAGCATGGATTGTCCCCTCTCCTGGATCAGGAAGAGCTGTCCCCAGTCGGTACAGCATGTTTTGACTCCAAAAACAACCAGGTAGCCTGTTGAGAGCACCCAGAGGTAAGGTGAGAGCAGCAGCTCTGTCAAAGTGCTATTTTCGCTGGAGGAACCTGCAAGGAAGATCAGGAGGAACGTTACTACTGCTTGAGCACAGCTACTGAACCACACCGACTCAGTGGCGCTACAGACACATCCGCAAGCAGGATTCATGCATAAGGACATACTTACAGAGCGAGATATTCATAGCTACTGGTAGTGAATGGCTTTACCTCCCCCTCATTCTGGGTTTGCTGTGATTTCAGAATCTTTTCTGTCAATTTATTCCACATTCATTAAAGATTTCAAAAGAATAATCAAAACACTACTCCCAGTAATTTTCTATATTGCGGTTGCCAATAAACCCTTCACAAAGGTTGTTAGAAAAATGATCTGCTTCTCCAGACTTTGCGCTACTGCTTTTAAGCTCTGCCTGTGAAAGCCACTACACAGACCCAAAGAAAGATGCTGACTTTCAGGTGCTACCTTTATTATTGCATCAGTCGCCCAAGAGCACCTACAAACCTACCCTCCCCAGAGAACACTCTGGGAAAGCAATATTGGTTTTGTACACAAAGAGCTCAAGTCTAGCAGCACAGGCATCGCAGGACAGCGTGGAAGGTAGGCTGAGTTTCCACTGGCCTTTAAAATCCTACAGCAAACCTCTGTTGCAATTCCCCTCTACCTGTTCTGCTTTCAGAGAAGCACCATACTCAGTGGTCTGAACAAACATTTACTAACTAGATGTCCTAGGTTAGGACAGAAAACACTGAGCAGAGTCCACCGCAAGCCAGGGGTCAAGAGAACCCACGGCGGGGTGAGGGGAGAACTGCCTGTCCTCTGGTAACATGGAGGAGAGGAGGGTCAGGCTTAAGGAAGCATTCCCCGCTGTTGCATTGTTTCTCTCTCTCCAGTACCCCCCAGGAGACTCAGCTCGCAGTCTAAGCAAACAAAGCCCCAAGAAAACGAGGGCACTGTTAGTACGAAGACATTAGACAGGCGGGGAGATGAAACAGCCAGCCGCGAGCGTCTCAGCGACGCACAGACGGTCACTGGCAGGCCAAGGAACAGAACTGATCGGCGGGCAGGCTCTTCCTCTGCTCTGCTGCACTTTGCTGTGACAGTCTCAGAAGCCTGTACGCCGGCACCTTCCCGCAAGATTACACTGGGGCTTGGTTTATACGATTTATAACTTCAACAGAAGTTGTTGCAGCTCGACGGTTGCCAGAATAAGGCTGCTGAAAACAACCCCTTACACACATCCCGCCGAGCAGTGATTTCGGGAAGTGGGAAGGACGGAGGTCTCAGTACACTGAGCGCCGACACATTTGCACCAGAACACAGACAGAAGGCACCGCACCTTCTCCCGCGCCTGCCCGCTTACAGTGAAGTCTCGTGCTCACCTTTCTTCCCTTTCTTGGCTCCTTGTTCAATGTTGGGTAGCCCAACATCCGACGGCTCGTTTTTAATCAGGACAAGGCAAACAAAAGAGACAACCACGCAGATGAAGCCAGAGAAGGACAAAGTCATGCGCCAATCGTAGTTCAGAGACATGAGAGCAGCGACAATGGGGCCTAAGCCTCCAGCCAAGTTCATGCTTGTAGACAGGATTGCCCACCAAGTCCCAAACTGGGAAGGCTCAAACCACTGTGCAACAACAAGAAAAATGGCATGAGGTCTGAGAAAGAGAGTGATGCTGCACCTAAAAATCCTCAACTGAGGCCCGCGCTGCGGGTTCGCGGCAATTCAGACCGAGATCTACAAAAGCAGGTAAAGGGAGCGCCTACTCTTTGCTACCTTAGTCACGCAGGGGACTCCAAACGTTACGCAAGTGTCAGCTACAGGAGCTTGACAGGTGCTCATACCACGAGCCAGCTCAGAGTTGTTTCCATTTACAGACGATGAAACTGAGACGCGAGCCAGGAGAGGCAAATTTAAGAGCACACGGGTCTGCGTACTCACTTGCTAGGAACAGCGTCCCCCTGGAAAGGTCTGCTGGCACAGGACCGTGAACAGGTACACAGAGAGTCATAGGGTAACTTTAGGACTCGCTGTCGCATTAAGTATCAGGCACGATCGGCTCTGCATTGCAACGTACACTCAGAGCCAGAACCGCTTGGGTGGTGGTTTTTTTTTTCCGAGAGCTACATTCCCAAACGCCTTCAGAAAATGCTATGTGTATTGTTTCCGTTATTCGGGAACTTCCTTTCCGTGCACACAACCATCCTGGACGGTCCTTTTCTCGCCAGCTAGATGAGGCTAGATGCCTCACAGAAGGGCAAGGCAGCTGTTCATCTCCCCTCGTCCCGCAAGTACGTGCATTCCTGGATTTTACCCCTTTCAAGAGAGGTTAGCACACAGCTGACCTCCTTTCCTTCTGCCCTAAGGCAGAAATCAATCTGTTCCATTTAGATTGTCACAAAACCCCAAAACACGCAGCTTAGGGGCTCGACTCACGCTGTTCCTCCATACGTTACCCAGTTTTCTACCTGAGCAGCCTGCAATTTGCAATTCCTGAGTTCCGTGGGCATGCAGATGGAATTCTGCTCGTCGCTCCTTGCCCAGCAGCAAAACTCCGCCACGGCAAAGAGATGAGCAGACCTCTGTCTGCACGCTGAAAATACTGGATTCTGACAAATGATGTCTCTTACAGTGGAGAAGGTCTGCTACCAGGAAATGTTACTTATCAAACTGAGCTAGAATCGAGGCGCATAAATGCAAGGGCTGAGCAACTTTTTGAATCTTTGCTAGAAGCAGCAGAACCTTGTGCACGGAAGCTTGCTCTGCAGGCAGAAGAAAGCACAGCTAGTGGTTTCAACCTCCTTGGCTTGAAGGAGGCAGGAATAGGTGCGAGTTCCTCTGAATT